ACGTTCGTATTGAGGTAGTGGGAGTCGCAGGAGAGGTTGCTCTAATACTCATTCGCGATGGAGACTCTGAAATTACTCTAGTATGAGTATCGATGGTCGTCCTTTAGGCTGATGGATCTGTTCGACTCGGAAGACCCCCGAGAGAGGGACTACCTCAAAACGATACTGCATAGGATATACGGTACTACTTGCTATAGTAGCAGCGCGGCGAAGTATTGGATTCACTAGGAAAATTCATGGCCTTGCGGGCATTCATTCGAAAGGCGATGCAGAACCTGTTCTATAAGATCATCTACGAGAGCGAGTACCATAACGGCATTGAGGAGCTGTTGGAAATTTTCGGCTCGATTGTTAACGGTTTTGCCCTTCCGTTGAAGGAGGAGCACAAGCAGTTCTTAGAGAAGAGCCTTATACCCCTCCATAAGGTGAGGGAAGACCTGGGTGATATTCATAGACTTTGTGACTTTGTGTAGGTGAAGACGTTGAACTCTTTCCATCAGCAGCTTTCCTATTGTATGACTCAGTACGTTGAGAAGGACCCGCGGTTGGCAGATTCCATAATTTTGGGTAAAATTTCGACGGAGCGAAGCGATAAATGATGGAAATGTGATGATGGCAGGTCTCCTCCGATTTTGGCCGATAACGAACACGCCCAAAGAAGTGTTGTTCCTCAATGAAGTGGAGGTAGTTTTGGAGGTAAACTTATTGAAGTCAACAGCGGAGCGAAGCACCTTTTGAATTATGTAGTTGACTCAACCACCGGAATTCCAGAAAGTTGAAGTGCCATTATTCAGACGGATAGGGCAATGTATTGCAAGTCCGCATTTCCAGGTAGATGATATGATCTCGACCTTCGCTGTGAGAGCTGTTGTTATAGGTTGCTGAACGAGTGCTTTTCTTATGGAATAATGATTATATCGCGAAGCGAATCAACCAGAACCGGCAGGTTATATTCCCGATTGTCATTGGACCATTGTAAGTTCTTTGAATGGCCCTTTGTACTACTTACATTCCTTTTGATGCAGATACAGGAATTCTGACTCCCATTGGAACACTACTGTCCACGGTTTGTCGTACAATGTTATTAAACTGCTCATGGAAGCTGATCCACCATTTTTTGATGAGTGCAATTCGAAAGTCCGGATCATCGCGGAACAGTAGGAGAGTATTGTCTCGGGTTCATCATTCTGATGTCGATGTGTTTAGGTCCCAAAAAGCGAAGGAGATAGCTGAGGCGAAGTGGGCATACCTTCAAGCTGAATACGATGGCCACAACACGGCACAGAGCAGTTCGACGAAGGCAAATGTGTAGGAGTAGAAGTAAGAGACATATAGATGATGACTGTGTTAGTCATGGTGGATTTATGTTTAGGTGAGCTATTATGGAGATGCGTTGCTTTAACACGTTAATGGTGTACCTTGCCCTCGCTCAATACATTACTTTTTATTGAGGGCATAACTTTCTGTATACAGCAGACTGCCGTGTGAGGGTCTGCAATAATAATAATGATGATGAAATGTGCCGATGGAAAGTCAGTGCGTTTTCTCTTCTCGATTGGCGAGTGTGTGTGTCTACCGATAAGTTTGGTACGAGTGTCGTCAATTGGCTTGTTCAACCGCGACCTCTTCTGTTTTCGTCATCATTAGCATCATCCTTGTTTTGCTCGCGTCTCCGCCCCTCTTCTCCCACCTCTCATTTGCCTTCTGTACTATTCCCCTCTCCCTCCTGCTGCTGCCACTGGCGGTGACCATCATACATTCTACTTGTCAATGTAAAGATATCTTTTGTATTGCTGCTATGTTGAGTTCTAGTCCCACACAACTGGTAGGAGAGGACTTCCCATCATCTAGGTTGGCCATGACTGCATCGGGGCGACTAGTGGGAAGAAGAACCAGTGACACTTCGGAAGTGGTTGATCTGTGTTCTGATACCAATTCACCGAGCCATCACGTTTGCGATGCGCAAATAGAGTGGGTTGAGTTAGTCTTGCTGAATGTAATTAATCCTTGAATTTCAGAGCACCGGCCCCTCGAAGGAGTGCTCGCCTTGAGGAAAGGAAAGTAGAAGAGAGCAGCTCTACATCGGGGAGGTAATGATGAAGGGCAGTAATAGTAGAAGTCACCATTTGGTGTGTTATAGGATATTGTCGACGCCGCAAAGGCAGCGTGGAGAACAGTCCGGAAGAGTAAAGACAGCTCCGGCCCCGCGCCAGAACAGGAACGTGGCAGTCAATACGAGTCCATTGAAGTTGGGGCCAGCGACCCCTCCTCGAGCAAGGAAGTGATACAGTGAGGGCAACGTGAATGTGTCCATGATGATAATATCCAGGAGTGTGGGAGAAGGATCAGCAGCTCTGGGAGGAGAGAACCCCGGTTTATTGGCTGCGTTTAAAGAGATGGAGTCGCAGGTAGTGGCTAACGGTGTTCGCTCAACCTCGTTTAAAAGAGATACGTTCAGCCGGAAGGTGGTCTGTCGGTTTCAGCCGCATGATGAGTTTGTTCGCAGTTACGTTGTCCAGTTTGTAAAGGCTTTCTCGATGCTCCGATGATGGCTAAGTGCTCTCATGTCTTCTGCAGTGCTTGGTATGGAATTGCCTTCTGTATTTACTCTACCGTTCCGTTTCATCGTTCAGTATACGCCGTCACCTTGAGCTTGTCTCTCAAACATGTCCGGAGTGTAACGCTTCTGCGTCCGTGTCATCTCTGGTGAAAGAGCCACGGATTGCTGCTTTGGTAAAGATCATGGGAGAAAACAATACACGGAAGAAGATCAGGAAGGTGACGCGCCTCGGGGGGACATACCTTGCTGGCACCTGACTAGCAGCAGGCAATACGGGTGGCCAATACCTCTGAAGTAGAAGCAGTTAAGGAGTCGAAGAACCCAGTATTCTCACGACAGAAGCTATCGCAATCCAAAGGAGTGCCGATAAAATCGCGCCCGACACTTCCCATATTTCGGGGTAATGAAAGATCTCCCTAAAATGTTGTGAATGAATGTTCGGTAGGTAAAAAGGAGCGAGATATCCAAGACATGCTGAGGCGAGAGAGTCTCGCCACGCCTTACCCCTGGAGCCGTGATGTCGCCATTGGCGAAATTAAAGAGTAGCATGGGTCGTTGCTAATTCGGGGGTGTATAAAAAAGATACTGAAAGATACTTCTTCCGGCTACAAGCGGCATATGATGGGAAGAAGATGGGAGCTTTCCCACTGGAACCGACTCGGCAAGGAGTGTTACGAGCAATGCATGCCAAAAAAGGCCGAGGCCAAACAGTACTGTCGCTTCCGACCTAATTTCTCTCGATGGCTCTTGTAATAGTCTCGAACACTACCGGTGGCTGAAAAGACTTCGGAAGGGTCCGATGATCTACAGGCTGTGTTCGGGGAGGCGAGATGGAAGATGCTGCGCCAGTTGCAGAGAGGAGTCAAGAGGGCCCGCGATAGAGTCGGTATCGGTTGTCCGTCCGTATTCAATTAATGTGATATGTAACCTTTTATTCACGCAGCCTCAAACGAAAATGGGTGGACGAATGGGATGATAGCTGTGTCGAACGACACGGGAAGAGTCCATGGCTGCAGCAAA